GAGAATGAGATGAGTTTAATTAATTGTAGAGGAGGTGTTGTAATTAGTTGTGGAGAATGGAATTCAAATAAAATGTATTAGATTAATTCAAAAATGTGAGTTTGGGAGAATGAAATTCTAATAATAACAGTATGGAGCCCAATCTAAATGACTCATAAACAATCTAAAATAACTCTAAAAATGTACATAACCTTGAAGCTCCTTAAGGTTATGAAGGAGATGGACAAAAAGTTCAACACAACATTCTAGTGACAGCAAGTTGCACAACTATAAACCAAATAACAAAAATTTCAAGTTAATATTTCTATTGACCATTAACGAATCACGACAAATAGGCAATTTCATTAATACAAATACCACAATGAGACTTTAAAAACTAATTTGACTGTTAACGAATCACGACAAATAGGCAATTTCATTAATACAAATACCACAATGAGACTTTAAAAACTAATTTTGACAGTAAATTCCAGTATTCACACTACCTTTGTTTCAGTCTGGTTAGAAATTTTTCCATTTATTTGGCTCTTTATTGTCTCAAGTTGTGTACAACATAACAAAAACAGAAATTCTAAAAATTACAAAACCCACTACAATTTTTTAAAAGTTCAAAAGCTCACTATTACTATAAACTGAACTAACTATAACTATAACTATAAACTGAATTAACTACACAAATATCACCTAACTGAACATCTATATATCTAGAAACAATGAATCAAATGTAAAAGTTAAAAAACGAACTCATCAATAATGAAAATTTAGTGTTTGATTTTTCTTTGGATTTGAATATAGAAATTAGACTTTTCTCAAGTGTACAAAGGTTTTAGAGTTCCAAATAGGAGACATGTTGCACACGATAATACATCTGTCAGCAAATGATCCTTCTAACTGAATCTTTTTATCAAGCATTTCATATGCAACCAGTTGTGGTTAATACAAAACACATGGAAGGCCAACTGAAAAAAAATAAAAAAGAAATTAAAAAAGTTATAAAAAAAAACACATAAGAAGAAATTATTTGAAAACCAACAATGAACAATGAGAGCTGTGCTGCCAAATAAACCGTGGAGTTGGAACACATACTTAAGTCCCAGTGGCATAAGTCTGTCTGATAAACCATCATCAGGAAAAGTGTTTTGCGCCTAGGCTCAGTTTCTCCCTGTATTCCAATCAATCAATTTCCTATCAATGTTGTAATTTTGATTTCGAACAGAATTCTTCATTTAGTTATCTAAAAAATAAAAAAGAGCTAGGAAACAAAAGACAGAAAATGGAGGGGAAAAGGAAAAACAAAGAATAATCAGTGTCTGACCATTGTTAAGAATTGATTGGTAGGTATACTTAGATTGATCTCAACCATTGATACATTTTGATACATTTTTCAAAAACCCTTCTGCCTACTTAAGAAATTCCTCATTTCTCCCATTTGTTCATGCATTCTTCACATCCAAAATTATGTCTCAGATAATTGCATATCCAAAATAAATAAATAAATAAACAATTATATTTGAAAACACATTTAAACAATACACACATGATTGCTCCCCAATATTATTCAGCATCAAACCAACAAACCTCATTTACATAAAACTATACAGTTCACGAAAAAAGTAGTAGTTAAAGATTGTTACGTAGTTGTGTGAAGAGCTAATTCATCAAACACATCTCCGAACAAACCTATATAACAAAAAGGTATATTTTTTGACACACACATACACACACACACACACATATACTTATTTATGTAAATCAACAAAAATCACCTGAGAGAGAGAGAGAGAGAGAGAGCACGATGTAGGTCCCCAAAGGCTCAAATGTCAAAGAAATGAAGTCCTTTTCCACAATTACCAGAAAATGGTTCGATGATCAAAGACTTTGTTCTTGTTAGGGTTTGCAGGAACAGTCCTCTGATAGAACAAACCAAAAGAAAGAAACACAATTACAAATAATTATCAAAACCACTAAAAAAGTAAAAGAGTAAATAGAACGAACGTTAAAGCATAACATAGGTTTAGTAGGTTTAGTGGTAAGGGCATTTTGTCAATTTCACCATTTGCTGGACATGAACTTAAAATTTTCATATTTTGTAATTTTCCTGTATCTATTCTTTGTATCTGATTTTAGTCTATGTAGAATAAACTTCCCCCGTTTGAAACCTTGGTTTGAAACCTCGAAAGTGCATTATTATGGCAAACGTGTAACAATCATGATTAGTTTGAACTCTTATCAAATTTCAGTTTTTTTTAGTTAATAATGACAGTGATAGCATATCAAAAACAAATAAATAAAAACATAAAAGAAAAGTTACTAATTTTAAAGATAACGCGTGACAATGAGCAGGATGATGGAACACAGTATATTGTCACTGGAAAGAGCAAAGAAGGCATATGAGAAGAAGCAGAGGAAGCAAAAGCAACTTCGGATGGGGACTCCTATAAAATCTCCACCATCACGGCCACCCAGAAGACCCGAGAGTTCGAAAAAACAACAGCTGGTGTCAAAGAATGGCGAAGTAAAAGCCAAGAAAAGAATCGTGGATAGTGATGACGACGACGATTTTATACTGAGCCCCAATAGGAGAAAAGTGTAAAAAGGAAATGCCCTTTTTTTCCCTTTTTGGTGGTATATTTTTAGAGATTTGCTTTTAATTGAACCCTTCAAATTTAACTGCGATGAGGCAAGTGACAGAAATCCATCAAACTGATGATATATTGAGACATTCTTTACACTGTCTGATGTTCAGAAATAATAAAAGGAAAAAAAAAAATCATAATTCTTGTTTATTTCTCGTTCATCTATCTATATCTGAGTTGATGATGTGCTAAATATATTCTTGCGGGACTTAAGTAACATATATAACCATGACAGAATACCCTAGAGTAGAGCAAGAATTACATTATACATAAATATAACTCTCTTATATAGTAAGAGGAAGTTAGATATGAGAGTTTGATATATATATATATATATCCTTTTCGCATCTAGTAGCAGTACTAAAACACACACCATACTCATTTCAATAAGTCAATCTAAGTTAATAAAGTAGTTAATGAACTTGCTTCATCACCTATGCAATTATCCATGGGTAGCCATATTAGGTTGGGTTTTGAGTTGAGAGTTATCAAATGGTTCAGATTAGCCCCTAAACGTCGACTGTAGTAAATCCTGGATAATAAGATGGAGAGATACCAAAAAAAAAATTGACAGGAAGTAGAAGCATTAGATTACCCAGGAATCTAGTTGCGCGGTACTCGTGAATTACCCAATTAGTCCTCTGGCCATTCAGAGCACGACTCGCATAGAAAACCAAAGTCTTCTTCATGCCAATCACAGTGGTTGCCCTCAGAGACCTGATAGAACTATCCTTACCCGTGGCCTTCCAGTACCCAGCCACAGTTGCTCTGTTCAATCGATGCCCATTCTGATACTTGCGATCTTTAGGACAGAAAAAGAACCACTCTTCATCATTCGTCTTTATCGCCGATTTATCTGCATAAAAATAGATCAAATCAAACCCAAAATTAGGGCTTTTAATCAAGTATATATCAATAATCAAAGCAAAAAACCCAAAATTTTAATTTTTTAATTTTTTATATGGGTAGTTTTACTAAGCAAATCCCAGGGTTTGCATTTGCAGACATCGATCTCTCGAATAACACTGACTTGCTTCTCATCGCTGTTGATCTTCAACTTCAGATAGTGATTGATGAGTTCTTCGTCAGTAAGGCGAAATCGGTACCCAACCGGAAGAGACTCCTCCGCCAAAATTTTAGAGAGAGACATCGCTAGAGAGAGAGAGAGAGAAAAGAAAGGGAAAGTGGGTATGGATCGAAATGAAGAATTAAAAACCTATAGAGGTAGCATAGGGAATGGATAAACAAATCGAAAGAGAAGATATATGAGATTCAAAGAAAATTCAGTCGGGTTTCAAAGACGTGGGGTTTGAATTGAAGAATGAAGCAACGGAGAAAGTGAGAGAGATAGATATAGAGATTGACAGAATAGAGATTGACAGAAACCATCACAGATTCCTGGGCGGGGATCCATTGATCTCAACCATTGACATAACTTTAGGATTAATCTCAGCCATTAAAATGTCTCTCTCATACATTTATTTATTTTCAAAAACCCTCTTCTCCTATTATATAGATATATATATCTATATATAAAGTTGGTTTGGAAAGTGAGTTAATTTTTTAGCTTTTTATTTTTTTTTTGACTATTTTAATCTGAGATTTTGCCTTGTTTAGAAAAGATTTTTTGGCTTTTTAAACTTTTTGTAAGAGAAAAAATGTAATGATTATAAATTAATGTAATATTTTATCTTATTAAACTAAAAAACTTATTTTGTTTTTTTTTGTTTTTAAAACTATTTTAGCCAAAAAAAATTCCAACTTCAACTTCCCAAACAGAGGCTAAGTACTATTTTTTTTATGGGTCCAGCTTGTCTCAAGTTGAGATCAAGACTGGATCTGTTCAGTTCGGTCCATGGGCCTATTTTTTGGGTCCGTTTTGATAATCCGAACCGTTCAATGTGTAGAACTCATCGAGTACTACATGCCTGTAAAAAATCACATTGATCGGATATCAATAGCTATGTGATCAAATCAGTTTTGTATAAAAAAAATGGACGGTGAAAAAATTAACGGTTGATAAAAAACTGTTTTGTTCACATAGCTATCGATATCCGATCAACGTGATTTTTGACAGCCATATAGGACTCGACGATTTCTACACATTGAACGGTTCGGATTATCAAAACGGGACCCGTGGTGGGCCCCCACGGGCCTAACAGCACGGTCCAGTCTGATCTTGGACTGGACCAAAGCCACTGCCTTTTTTTTATTTATCTATGTAACACATTTTAAAATTTTAATGTTTTATAAAAAAAATTCATATTAGCATATCTTTTCCATTTACATAAAGTTTTATAAAAATTTAATTTTAATTATAATAACTAATTTCTTTTCAAAAAATAATAATTAATTTAATATGAATTCTATTTGAAAAATATTTATTTTCTATACACATATATATTTTTTATCGTGTATTCAATTTTATCGTTGTCAGATTTATTTTATATAGTTCATAGTTTAATTTAATTATTATAATATTTTTAAAAAGTTATCTTGATATACAAATAAATAGATAAATAAATAAGATAAAATGTGCTTAATTATGTGCATCGCACTAATCAAATTAATTTTTTTATATATATTTTTTTCTATCTTATAAGGGGGGGTGTTTTAAGGGGGTCTAAATCAATGCCCTAACTAAAAACTTACTTTCCAAATAACAAATAAAAATGACGAGTTTACATTAGCAGCCCTTATGATTGTCATTTTGGTTGGAAATATTATGATATACATCTTTTAAAAGGTATAATATATATATATATATATATTATAATTAAATTATACATACAAGTTAGGAGAGATATAAAATATTGTATTCGGGGGTTGAACTTGGAGGGTTTACCAGGGGATATCCCACCGGCCAGGTGCATGCAGCTGACCCAAGTTCAAAGGATTTATTTGTTTTCGGCTATATATATATATTTATTGTGTTGCTTCTAGGAAGGAAAGATTTATCACTAATTTTAAATTTATATTATATACTTATTTTTAAAACGACAATGCTACGTAGCTCAAATTTTGTGGTTCAAAAGTGGCTTAAATGGCCAAAACGACGTCGTTTTGAGTGCAGAACAACATAAAAATGGCCAAAACGACGTCGTTTTGGCCATTTGAGCCACTTTTGAGCCATAAAATTTAAGTTACGAGACATTTTCAATATATATATTTTCGATTTCCACTGCCCACTCAATACTCAATTCTTGAGATTGGCCCAAATTTGAAACAGCAAGGCGCGTGCAAATCCGTGCTGTTGTTGCTCACCCTTTGAGGGGGCGTGGATCGTGTGGATTGGCTTCGTTTGGACGTATCCATACCTACGTATACATATATATATATATATACTAGCGGTAAACCGTGCGATACACAGAAAAACAAACTATATACATTTTGTGTGATATATAAATTATTCTAATCTTGAATTATATTTTAATAGCAGCAAGCCATAATGTTAGGCCATCTTGGTTGATATTAACAATAATTAATCTACAAAATTTCACAATAAAAATTTGATATACATAAAAAATTGTTAATTATAAAGATTGTTAGGATAATAGTATTACAATCACTTGCTAACATAAATAATTTGTATCAGACTATAGTGTCATGCAAAAAAAAAAAACAAAAACAAAAACAAAAACAAAAACAAAAACAAAGCATTAAAAGAAATAAATTGTATAAGTTATCATAAATTTACTTATTTTAAATCAATTATTTATATTATTATTGTGGGACCAAATTATGAATAAATCTCAACTTTTAATTATAATTTGTAAGTAATCATTCTCCATAACTTGAATAATATTTGCATAGTTTTTACAATATTTTTTTAAAAAAATCAAGATAAGAATTTCGTAGGATTATAAAAATTATATAAGAAAATAGTTTAATCCATTTTATTTATAAAAAAAAAATGATGACAAATTATTTGAATTGTATTTGAAGAAATATAACAAATGATAGCTTTAATCATTATATACCAATATAGTAAAAGAAATAAATTTTAAAATATTATGGGGTTTTGAAAGTACTTATATAATTCTTGTCCTTTTGAAAGACAAATTAGATAGTGAGGGGGCTATCATCAAATCTCCCTTTCTCTTTACCAAAATTAATTATTTTCGTCATCTTATATGGGTTCTAAATTGATAATATAATCTAATAAATCAACTAATAATAAAAGAGAGATATCAACAAATATGTAGTATTTCTCTACCATCTTTGTATTGTATTCATTAATTTTATATATCATATGAAAGTTTTACTTGTCTCAATCTTTCAATAAAATAAGCACCAAGAAAACAAATTTGATAAGAAATTAGTTCTAAACTTTATTATTAAAAAAATAGAAATTTCAAAGAGAAAATTTAGAGATGGGATTGAAAAAATACTATAACAAATGACAATCTTATAAAAAAAATAAAAAGAAAGAAAAAGAAAAAACATATAGCAATGATCTAATATAAACTATTTTTAAAAATTAAAAGAAAGAATATCAAATTATTACCTTGGATAAATATAGTGGCGGAAAATAATTTTGTGAGATTTTTGTATTGCCTTCTCTTATACAGCTTTCATTATTTAATTATTAATACTCTTCTTATTCATAGCCAACCATTCTTTTTTTATATATATCTTTATCACTTGGTAGATAATAACAAATAATAAAAATTATGAGGATTAAGTTAAGAGGAGATAAGAAGTTATAGATAAGAGTATTTCACAAGATAAAAATTTTAAAATAAAAAAAATAATATGTGATAAAAAGAGAAAAAAAATATAAGTAAACCAAAATAAAGATTTAGATAGATATGTTTTTGATAGATATGGATTAACAAATCATATATTTATCTAAATTTCATTATTTTAATTTTTTTTTGTAAATCAATTAGTTAATCTTTATCTGTAGACCATGGATTAATTTTTATAAATTATTTATCAAATTCTTATAATGTTTATTTATCTAATAAGTCATGAAATTATTATTTTTCAAATAATTTTTAAAATTTTTATCTTTATCTAAATTCATGAAATAATTTTCCCAAAATTATTTATGATTTTTTTTTATATGTTTATTTATAATGAATAGTTAAAGCACAGAAGTGAGGGCAAAAAAAACATGAGTAGTTTTTTTTTTAAAATCAATTTTTTAAAAACCTTTATTTTTTCAGTAGGCCCATGAAATTAATTTTTATAAATTATTTATCAATTTTTATATGCTTATTTATGGGAAGAAATTTAAATTATCTATAAGTTATAAAATTAAAGTATTTAATTTTTATCTTATCCTGATACCATGGAAATTAATTTTCATAAATTAATTTATCAGTTTTTATATGTTTATCTATATGGAGGAATTTTGAAATTCAATTTTTATCCATAAGCCATGACCATTAATTTTCATTTTAATTAATCAACAAAAACAAATAGAATGAAAGGAAAAATAGAAAACACGAAAACGAATCAAAAGGTTGCCAAACGTAGGAAAGAGATAATTTTAAAATTATGAGAATTTAGGAAATGAATATTTACAGGATTTTTGACAAAACCACTACATTTGATTATATTATAGTAATAGGATATACACGATGTGACAAAATAAATTATTTTAGTGCATGTGAAATTGGGAATTATTTTAGTTATAAAAAAATTAAAAAAATTTAAAAGGTTAATAAAGGGTTGGTTTGGGAAGTAGGTTGATTTTTTTGGCTTTTTGGGCTAATTTTAGCCTGGGCTAAAAAATTTGGTTTGAAAAACGACTATTTTGACTTTTTGACTTTTTTTGTGAGAGAAGAGTATAATGATTATTGATGTGGATATGATGTTTTGTTTGGTTGTGGCTAAAATAGCCTATTTTGTCTTTTGGCTAAAAATAAGCCCAAAAAAAAACCTACAAACCTTCTTCCCAAACAGTGAATAAAAACTTTCATTGAATGTGAGTTGAACTTTTTGAACTTTTTATTTATTTTAAAACTTGTTTGGGGTGTTCTAAAAAAGTCAAAAAAGTCACTATCCTATTTAAGTCACATCTTCTATTTAAGTCACATCACCTCTCTACCACATTATTTTAACTCCAAAAGCCCATATTTTATAAAAAAGTCAAAAAATGTATTTATTTAGAACATCCAAAAAATCCCTTAGTCCTGAAAATTAAAAATTCTCGTTTGGGAAATATACTTTGTAGCTTTTGAGAGAAAAAAAAGAAAATTATTATGGTTTTGAATGTGAACATTTTACTTATTGACAATTTTAGTC